TTAGACGACCAGACAAGGGAGTTCATCTCCTCTAAGATCACGTGTAATATTCTAGACCAGGCTCCTGTGATCTTCGGCACGATCAATCAGGGTATTTTGGAGCTTTTGGATGAAAGATTGAGTGCCTTCCACACTGAGGTGTCGGTCATGATGGGGTCGTGCACACTGACATTCTGGGAGTTCAGAGCTTGTAGAGCCCCTGATTACCATAGGGCTCGGGAACCCATTGCGAGCACCAGATGGTTGGAAGATGTCGCAAACGCATTCCGCACCATCAGATGTACCGAGGGGGACAAGGTTCTACTTGAGTCTTTCTTCTGAAGGACAGGGCACGTGACTGGTGGGAGGAGGTTGGTCATGCTATGGGTGATGCTGCCTTTGATACTATAACCTAGAATGACTTCCCAGCTAGGTTTAGAGTTGAGTTTGCACCTGTGATAGAGATGCAACATCTTGCTAGGGAGTTCCAGGATCTTCAGCGGACGAATGAGGTGGTTACGGAGATCACCGCTATGTTCAGGGAGATGGCACTTCTCGTTCCACAGTATGTGGCAGACGAGGAGATAAAGAAGGCCCGCTATCATGAGATGTTGCAGAGTGATATTCACCAGTTTGTGAGCTGATCCAGGTGCAAGACACTAGAATATATGATTGCTAGGGCTCGTGAGAGGGAGTTAGATTTAGAGAAGGAGAGGAAGAGGAAACCAGAGGGGGTTCAGTCAGGGAACGCGGGCAAGAAGCCCAAGGTAGATTCCCAAGGCAAAGGCTAGTAGGGCCAAGGGTAGTGTGGCAAATGTGGCAGGACACATGATGGGATATGCAGGGCAGGTAGTTCGGGCTGCTTTAAGTGCGGCCGCACTGGACATCTGAGCAGAGATTGTACATCCATTAACACCACCATGACAATATCAGACATGATTTGCTTCCAATGCAATCATAGGGGACACAAGCGGCCCCAATGCCCGAGTTTAGTAGCAGTAGGGCAGGTTATGGGGTCCGCTCCTGCTATATTGAGGATTACCGACGACCGCCAAGGCCGGGTGATGCACCTGTGGCGAAGAGCAGAGCCTTCCAATTGACAACAGAGGAGGCGCGAGCAGATCTGGACATGGTGACGGGTATATGTCTTTTCCTTATCTATATATTTATATTGATTATTGATTATTGCTTATGTTTATGTGTTTTGTTATAGAATCATTCTTAGTGAACCATATATTAGCTTTGGTACTGTTTGATTCGGGTGCCACCCGATCTTTTGTGTCGCTCGTGCTCAACAAGCGATTCGTCGCGGCTCCTGGAGAGTTGGATTGCCCACTTGACATAGAGATAGGAAATGATAGGACCGTCAGGGTTGCGAGGGTTCACCGAGGATGTACACTGCAGTTGTTTGATGATCAATTTTATGTGGATCTAGTCCTTATTCCTCTGCGAGGGAATAAGCTTATAGTCGGTATGGACTGGTTGAGCCCCAATGAGGGAAGTGATCAACTGCAAGCAGTAGTTAGTGAGAGTTCGGACTCCTAGTGGGGGAGGGTTTGTGCTTCCGGGCGAGAGGCCGCAAAGTGGACTGACCCTATGTTCAGCAGCGAGAGTGAGGTGCTATATTTAGTAGGGTTGCACGGGTTATGTCCCTATGTCATGGATACCCGAGATAAGGGTAAGGCGACAATCGATGACGTACCGGTAGTGCGAGAGTTCCCAGACACATTCCCGGTGGATTTACCTGGGATACCTCTAGAGAGATAGGTTGAGTTTGGGATTGACCTAGTCCCTAGTGTGGCTCCGATAGCCAAGAAACCATATCAGTTGGCTCCTCCCGAGATGCAGGAGTTATCTATATAGCTGTAGGAGCTGCTTGATAAGGGATTTATCAGGCCGAGCAGTTCCTCATAGGGAGCCCCGATCCTATTTGTGAAGAAGGACAGGTTACATCGCATGTGTATAGACTACCATGATTTGAATAAGGTGACAGTGAAGAACCACTATCCCTCCCGAGGATTGATGATTTATTCAACCAGCTACAGGGCGCATCTTGGTTCTCCAAGATTGATCTGCGATCGGGTTATCATCAAATGTGAGTTAGGGATCTAGGATGTTCACGGAGCAGTTTGGTTCGGATAGTAATAAAATTATGAACCAAAAGCATGGGGAAGATACTTCGTGCGCACTATCCGAAACCGAACTGACTTGGTAAAAAAACCGAACTAAACTGAACCGTGTGAGGACGGGTAACCATGGTTCGGTTTACGGGTACCCGCTATATATAAATGTCAAATTGAAACAAAACTACAAACTCTATTTCAACCTTTGTTTTTTTTTTTTTTTTTTTTTTTTTTTTTTTTTTTTTTTTTTTTAATGAAAATAAGTAAGGTAGAGACTCATAAAACATGATGACGTCAAATAATATTCATTATAATATTTATAATAACTATTAGACAAAATTGCAAAAATGGTCACTATGGTATGCATTTTTTTGGGGTTTTAGTCCAAACCACAACTTTTTTGGATTGATGGTCCTTTTGAGGTAGTTTCGTTGCATTTTTGGTCCCTCGGTAAATTGAAATGACTGTAATGCCCTTGGGTATTTATTTTTTATGTTTTTTCTATTTAACTTAAATGAAAAAGAAAATAAATAATTAAATTGGACCCACCTCTCTCTCCCTCTCTCTCTCTCTTTCTCTCTCGTGCAAACCCACTAACGATCCAAACATCATTCATAATCCATTTCAACATTAGATTCCAGCAACTTGGATTAACCCACAAAAAAACTTAAAGTTCTTCACCCACTTTCACTATGAACACACATACACACACTGGATCTAGGAGAAGAAGACCCATTTCAGTGACTATCAAGAAGTCTCTCTCGCTTCCCTCTGGTGACCCTCCTCCTTCTCCAAAATTAATTTCAGCACCTTAACACATTAGCGTCTGTTGTTTCTGCTATTCCCGGTTAGATTACCGTCTCTAAAATAGATTTCTCGATTCTCTCTCTCTCTCTCTCTCTCCAAACCCATTACCGTTTTTAACAGATTTTGAGGAAACAACATCCCAATCAACATAAACCTCGATTCACAAATCAACCCACTTCCAATCCCTTTTCAATTAGATTAATAGATCCAAAACCAATTTGATTGTAACAAATGCCAGTAAGCATTACCTGTTGAGAGAACGAAAGAGAAAGTAAGAAAGATGAAAATTAAACCAGAAATAGATGAAAATGAAAATTAAACCAGAAATATATACATTTATCTGTATGTATATATGTTGAGAAATAGGTAGAAAGCAGTGAGATTGGATCAATCGGAGAAGAATAAAGATGAAGCTTGAGGTCGCTGGAGCCACAACAAACCCTAACTCCGATTAGAGTTTCACCGTCGTTGCTATGAAGATCAGATTAGGGTTACCACTGAATCAGAGTGAATGGAGATGATGGGTCTTGTAGCTATCTCCGATTTATGACGTTCCCCCTGCAGTCATTACTACTCCATTATCTATACACTTTGTGCTTAAACGTTAATTCATTTTTTTCGATTATGCATTTCATAATTCAGTATTGTCATTTCAATAGGCTCCTAATGTGGTATCAGAGCTTAATCTTGGAGGTTTAAGCAACTATTTCAAGATCAACGATCCTAGATGACAACATTTTTGATTAATTGAAAAAAGATTTGAAATCTTTGGTGAGTGTCACCATTGAATCTATTTTCTTTTCATGTCAAATTTGTTGATCCAACACATTTCTTTTGATTTAGCTCAAATTCTAGATTTTTTATTGTTCATTATCTAAATTTTAGCCTAAAATCATTAAATTTTTTGATCGAGTCCAATTTACATTTATTTGTTTAGATGATTAGTTTAGTCTAGAGAGAGAAAGAGAGAGTATTGTAGTCAAGCAAACGCATGATTCTATAAATTTGGTTCTACTCCATTATCTATGCACTTTGTGCTTAAACATTAATTCTTTTCTTTTCGATTATTCAATTCATAATTTCCCATCGTCATTTCCATATGATCATACAACAATATCTTTTCTTCTTCGTTTGTATTTCACCCACTGTTTTAAAACTGGTTTGAACCGGCCGGTTGAGCCGGTTGGACCGGAAGCCGGGGAAAGGAGCGGTTCAATTATCACCGGTTTTATGTCTATTTATGAACTGGATCGAACCGACTGGTTTTTATAAAAATCCGGTTGAACCGGTTCAATTAAACCGTTTGAATCGGTTAAATTGAATAAAACACATGGATATGAATCCATTTGCATAATAAATTTTAGTATTTTTTTCACATTTATTAAAAAATTTCTTAATAAAAACACATGATAAATGTTATGGAGTTTTTTGATGTGTTTATATTCATCTAGGACTTGATTTTTTTTTAATCCATGTAGATTGATTTAAAACTTACAGTTATGAGTTATTTAATGTATTTACTATTTAGATTGATCTACAACTTGTTTTTATATGTATTTTAATGTTTGCACTTGTGGATATCAAATTATTTATTTATGTATGTATCTTTGTGTAGGAAAATATGAAAAAAGATGAAAATTATTAAAACCAATTTATTCAGCGGTCGAACCGGTTGAACCGAAAACCGTTCACCATACCGGTTCAACTAAAAAACCGGTTTTTAAAACATTGATTTCACGTGATGCTAGAGGGATACACCGACAACTAGGAATATGAAAAACAACAATAATAGGGTTCAAGGTATTGTTTTAGTATCTATATCTTCATAAGAGATAGAGGTTAGTTGCAAAATTGATTTTGAGAGAGAAGAGACTACCGTCTACCGACCTAACCAAGTGGAGGCTACACATCGACAAAAAGTTACCACCTTCAGTTACGCTCAATCAAGCTACTTATCCGTTATCCATATGCACCATCAAGCTACTTATCCGTTATCCATATGCACCCTTACATCTTTGTGAGCTTCTCTAACTCTGTTATTCTAGAACTTTCTTACATCGGTTTCTAGGGTTTTTACGATTATATGAATGTTACCCTGGTATCCTCATCGATATCAATGTGTTGGTCTATAGTTCATTCTGAATCACAGTTTTCACCTTCAACCGCTAGCAACACCTGTGTCGGACCTACCCTTTACACATTTAAAACTCCATCAACTATCAAAACCCATCGAAATCACATTATTAATCTGGGTGAATTTTGTCACAACTCAACTTGAAATTGTAGGTTTGGACATGGGTATAAATTTTCTTTTTTGTTCATTTTATCGTCCATTTACTTATTTCCTCCATTTCTTTTGCTATTTCATCATTAGTAATAAGGAATTAGACCGAATCAATCAACTTGGTGTGTGTTTAAAGATAAACACTTTCTTTTGATAAGATTCAATTATTCACTTTTTTAAAAGACTAATTCCTTCTACTGTTTTTTCTCTGTACAATATCTCCTTCAGTCGAACTTTTGAGAAGAAGATTTTCAGTCTCTCAGGCTCAATAGTTACTGTATGTATCAGGTATGATAATATTTCCCATGCACACGCAATTTATCTGCCTTTTAGTTTAATAGTGTCATTTTTTATTAGGTATGATAATACTAGTCCTACACACAATCTTGGGCTTTTGAGTTTTGATTTATTTGTGAATTATTATTTTTTCTGTATATATATATATATATATATATATATATATATATGATACTAATTTAATTATTGTTTTATGATGAATTTAATGTTTTTGAATCATTATTGTTGTTTCAATGTGTCTAAATGCTATTCTTATTGATGATAATGGCCTTGGTAAGACCATCCAAGCAATGAGGTTCTTGGGTCATACGGCTGAAGTAAGTAAAATGCATATAAATCTATTATATCTATTGTTAAATAGCCTGATCGCTCTTTCAGTTAGTGAAAAAAATTTAATACGTAAGTTTTGCTTGGTTTTTATACAAATACAACTGATTTTACAGGAGACTAGCTTGTCGTATATGCTTAAAATACTAAGATTCATATTAAATTTATTAGTTCAAATACTATATTCTTTAGTGGTCAAAATTTTTGTTGATGGGTCTGTAGACGTACTCTTCAAGTAATGGTCAAATTTGCGTTTACATATATGTTCATCATGCTGTCAGCTGCTTTCCTCACCTATAACTAAGGTATTGAATGATTTATTTATTTATTTATTTTTCTAAATAATAGATGAACTTTGCCCATTTTATTGATCAGGTCCAATATATTGATTTTGGGGTTCAGAGCAACAATATAGACAATAAAGTAGGAGGTCTTGAGGTTGATATGATGGATTCAAATGAGATCAAAACTCATGTTTTCCTTCAAGTACATTTTTGTTTTGGTTAATGAAAAAGCAACATGAACTCAATTGCTTTCTACGTATGGATTTGCAATGATACTCTGATAAGGGATCATGTTTACATTGTGTAAGAGTTAATACTTTAACTACAATACTTTTTGCAGAGCTATTCATCTATTTGCCACAATATCCAAACCATGTTAGGAGGTTTTGAGACAAAAACAAGAGAGCAGGTTGTCAATTTCATCAACACTTCTAATCCCTTTAAATGTTTTCATCTTACATGGATACTAACTTCCATTATGATCGATCTTATTAATGAACAGTGGCTTCCATTTCGAAATGATGGAAAATACTATGATGTAGACTATGATAAAACTTCATGTGAAAAAGTTTCAAAGAATCTTGCTCTTGGAGATAAAAAGTTCTGGAATACATTTGTTTCTCACCAACATTCTATTAATATCCCTCTTAAAACAAAACTGGAAAACATCAAGGAGCATGAGCAAGTCACAAAGCTGCATCAACAAAAGAATTTATATAAAAAAATGCACATACATAGCCTTTTCCACAATCTAATGATTATTATTTTACCTGTAGAAGTTGATGTAAAATTTTGAGTGTCAAAAAGAGATGTTAGATTACATTTATTAATCAAAGGTGAGTTTCTATAATCATGTAACATCCGTTTAAGGTAAAATTCTCTTTTTAGATTTAAATATGAAAATTTTGCAATCTAGGTACCTATGCCGGGGGTAATCAAGGTATGCGGGGCATGCCTTGCCGAATCTTGGACATGGGTTTTCCGCCAAGTACGCTGGGCGTACTCGAGTCAGGAGCAAACCCTAATTTTTAGGATTTGGACCTATTTAAGGATTATTATAGACCATAAGGCTGCCCCCTCATCAGCCCCCATTCCCTTGAAGATACACCATGAAACCCTAGCTTCCATTTATGTAAATCTTGATTTTTTGAGTGATTTTAGAGTGTTTTGGAGCATCTTGAGTCTTTGAGTGATTTTAGAGTGTTTTAGTTGGTGCTTGTGCATCCGGGGTCTATTTATCATTCTCAAGCCTCCAGGAGGTATAAAATGTTGACCTTGGCTATTCTATGCTTAAATCTAAGATTAGTTAAGATTGGAGCATATTTAGGTCCCATGGATGAGTTCTTGTGAGTAAATGCTACTCTAGAAGCTTTGAGTGGTCCTTTTGATGTTTTTGAAGTTCCTTGATGATAAAGTTTGCATCTTGATGATTAAAGACCAACCACGCAAAAGTTTCTGATCATTTTATGAAAGAGGAATGCTACATCTAGGATTTGGACCTCTTGGAGCTATGCAAAGGATTAAGCCTTCCAACTTTATGGATTAAGACCGTATTTAGAAGTAGATTTGATATTTGGAAGTTAAGGTTTTAAGATATTAAGCCATGTAAGTGAGAATGAGACACTAACAAATACGTTGGGTGTAATTCTGAGTACACTGTGCGTACAAGGTGTGAGTCATGTTCCTTCCTCGCTATGGGAACTTGTATGTTGGGCGTAATCTGGTGGTACGCTTAGCATACTCACCAGCTGGGATTTTAGACCTTGATCTAGTTTGGGTCATTATTGGGCCATAAGTCCTTTTGGGTTTAGGCCATAGTTGGGCCTTAGGTCTTTATGGATTTGGGTCATTTATGGGCCTTGGGCTATTTTGGGCTTTGGGGGTGTGATTAGTTAGGCCTAGTCATGGAAGGGTAAAATGGTATTCTACCTTAGGAGTCAGGATTAAGGGGTTAGACTCTCGGTTATGGTTTATGGCCTAATTGTTAATTCAGGTTATATTATTTGTGATCTAGTGTGGGAATTATCCGGTTCAGCAGCCCAAGTGTTATTTGTTTATTAGTAGATCGAGGTGAGTCTTCTCGCAGTGTTTTGCGGATAGAAGGCACCAATACTGGTCCATTGATTATTGTTATTAGAATGGTAGCTGTTTGTGTGACTCTTGCATGAATTGTATGTGTTTGTATGTATGTATGTCGGGAAGGGCGTGATGCCAGGCGAGGCCTGATGAGTATGTTCGGTAGGGCCAATCACACGTTGCTGACAAATTTGTACCGGGAGGGGCTCGATGAAGGTCAGGCGGGGCACATTGTATGTATGATATGTGGTATTTTTGGGAAAACTGACTAATCTTTGTTCTTAGGGTTTTTATTTTATATTTCAGGTGATTCCGGTCCGAAGGGGAAGAACTCATGATGATCGTATTGCACACACCATGTTTTCCGCATTATTGACTCTGATGTATTTTGGATATGGATGATATAATCTGATTTTTCCGTTTTGGTTTTCTATGAACAAAAATTGGTTGGTTGTTTATCTAATGTAAAATGAAATTTTTGGTTATAATTATTAGGACGTTAGAAGTTGGTATCAAAGCCTTGGTTTGAGGGATTCAGTCATACTCTTGGGTGTCTTTAACTCTAACTGAGGATTTGGTAAGTTTTTCATGAAAGAAACTGATTTTCTAAAAGGTTTTCTAATAAAAGAAAGGGGTGTTGTGCATGTAAATATGTAATTGACTGAGCTCAAGTAAGTCTTCCCAAAATACCTATACATGTTATATGTTGTATGCTGTGATATCAGAATCACATGCTAGTTTAGGGATAAGGACTTGCTCAGGAATGCATCATATAATGCTAGGAGAGATGATGTGCCTATTATATGACCTTGTAGATCTACGTGATAGTATTGGTTCAATTAACGGATAAAGTGGCCTGTTTAGGTTATGCTTTGATTTGGATTACACAATGCTCCAATGTTGCGTGCTTTATGCTTTTTGGAGTTCTCATTAATATCAGCTAACTATTAAGCAAATGCGTTAGGTTACATATTATTGGGACTAGACAATTTTAGAAGTTTAGGTTTGACTCTATTGTGCAGCTCTTGTTTGAGTCCAACTGTTGTAGTGTGAGACCTTTCAGTCGAAGAATTATCTAGTATTGGTAATATGTAATTGTATCCCTGAGCTAGTTAGTTGGTGTTAGAGGGAGTTCCTTATGTAGCTGAAAGCAGAGAGTGGTGTGATGGAATCCCTAGGAAAGCCTAGGAGATGTCTCGGTGCAGTGAGCATTTTCTATGTGTATGATAGTTCAGATTGTTAGAAAAGTACCTAAGAGGATTCAGGACGATCTTTGAGGAAAGTATATATAGATGTGGAAGGTAGTATTAGCCCCGTACTACTAGAAGTAGAGGATCCGTACTCAATTCGAGTAAAGTCATGATGAGATCAAGGAAACTTGTAGTGTTTGAGAATCTTTGAGCGTTTTCTAATGGTTTGTTTGTTTTATTGTGACATCCCCAATTTCACAGCCAGAAAAGACAGATTTGTTTATGCTTTGTTTTTAAAATCAGAGTAATCATTTAAAAAAATTGTTGCGGAATTTGTCCCCAAAACAAAATATGATAAGAATTTATCAAAGCATTTCTTAAAGAAAAGTATTTTCATTATATAACAAAATCTTGGGATATCATGTTCCGATACAAACACATAAGCATAAACATAACTCACATTTATTTACACTAATGATTTACATCTCCTTTAATCTCTTAGTGAAATATGTCTTCATATTGATACATGTGATACAAAGAAAACTGAGTGGGTCAGGCTTGGGAGCCTAGTAAGCATATAGAGTTTTCGACCCACAATAATATAATTATTATATTCAACCATCAAACAATCAACCCAATTACCCATCCCCATTATCTTATTTATTTCTCAAGGTTTTACCCTAAGAATTCAGTTATTATTCATTCCTAAGGATTGACCTAAGGAATTGACACAAAATCCATTGCTACATAAAGCGCATCTACCAACATCATCCTTTAAGTGTCTCTGCTAGGATTACGTCATACACTATGAGGCGCTGGTGCCAGGATAATGACATTCTCTTTTAGGCACATCTGCTGACATTATCCTATAAGCGCATCTGCTAGTATTATGACATTCTCTATTTGGTGCGTCTACCAATATTATTCTTAAGCGCATCTGCTAGTATTACGACATTCTCTAATTGGTGCATCTGCTAATATCATTCTTAATCATCTTACATACCTCATCATTTACCTCATCATTTTATCACATACCAACTATCTCATCTACCCATGTTCTACCCAACATATTAGTAGATATAAAATACATATACAATTTAACTCATTTAAAAACCATATAAAATATCTATTCCACACTTATCTCAAATAAACAACAGTATATAAACACACAACATGTATTTCATAGAAAATACTTCATATTTATGTGTTAGAAGAAAGTAACCACACACACACATATATAAACAACAATATATATATATATATATATATATATATATATATATACACACACACACACATAGCACGTCTTTCATAAAATACTTCATATCTATGTGTAAGACGAAAGTGACGATACACTCACTTGATAAGACGATGATCGAACAACGCCTCCTCTCTTAAAATAATCTTTTGCGACGAAACCGAGATGTTTTCCTTCAAAACCGGGCTTCACGCGGGCAGAGCTTCGGCTTAGGAATCTTTCTTCTCCGGATCTTCGGGGCTTCGGAACTTGCTTCAGGGCTCGGGAATGATACCGGGGCTTCGGGATATTTCTTGCACGCAAAACGATGTAAAAATGAGCGAGAAGGAAAAGTTTGAACAAAAGAAATCGACAGCCCTTGCATTCTATTTATAGGGTGCTGAATCTGGGATTACGTTGGGCGTAAATCTTGGTACGCTGGGTGTACTCAGTACGCCGGGCGTACTAAGCCTTACGTTGGGTGTACGCAACGGATAAGCTTAGGTATGCGTGCCACGATCTTCAAAAATTCATAACTTTCGCATACAAGCTCCGTTTTCGACGTTCTTTATATCCATGCGTAGGTGAGATTATGCTCTACAACTTTCATTTATACTCCGTCGGCTAATTTTGATTTTATTTTTATTATAATATTTTTAGTAGGCCGGGACAGGAAAACTTCGTTATAAATTCATAACTTCTTCATCCGACGTGTATTTTCGTCTGTCTTTTTACCCTTGGACTACTATCGACGAGATCTTCTATTCATGTTTAGATTGTTTCGGCTGAAAACCACTCGATCTCAAATCGAGTATTCGGGCTGCATACCGCTAAGTCGAAACTTCGAAAAATCATAACTTCCTAATACGAAGTCAGATTTGGGTGTTCTTTTTATGCACGCTCTCGGTTTAACGTATTCCACGACTTTCGTTTAGATCACTAAGGCTAGATATCGCTCTAAAATAAATTCATATTTTACGTCGTTCAGCGTCGTGCCAGTTCTGTTGCGAAACTTCGAGAGGTCATAACTTCTTCGTTATAACTCGGATTTCGGCGTTCTTTATCTGCACGGAAAACTTGTGATATATACTACAACTTAGTTAAGATTATTCATTCTAAATAATCTTCTATCAAAAAGTCGTTTTTGATGTTTATCGTCTCTAAATTGACTAGCCCTAATCTACGGGCGTTATAATTATCTCCCCCTTAGGATGATTACGTCCTGGAGTCATCAACGAAACAGGGTTTGAATAATGATTCCATATGTTAACTTTCCATCCTAATAATAACCGTGATGTTCAATCTTACATTTACTCTTCATACTTTGTTGGACTTTCGATCGTAACCTTCAATTTATAAAATAAATCATTGTTATGGACTCCTTCTTCTTCTTAGGATA